GAGTTGTTCATAGTCGTCATCATAGTTGGTGGGTTCATCATCATACTATACGGATACCTCCCCACCATAGACTGCTGTGGAGGGACCATTTGGCGTTGCTGTTGACTCTGACGAGAATTGGAACCTCCCGGGGTCGATGCGCGACTCAACGGAGTGCTGAGGAATACTGATAAACTCTCATGAGCGTACACTGCCCCTCTTACCCTCCAGCTCTCTCCACTGCTCTACCAATGTCATACGTGCCTTCCAACACTGACATCGCCATTTCATATCCGCTCGCAACCTGTGGGCTCATCCCCGAAATCGTCAACGCTCGAGGATCTCTCGTACTGTCGCTACCAGCAGTTGGAGCGGCTAAAACGACCAAGAAGGAAACACTGGAGTTTCAAACATATTTCACAATGCGAGCAGTGAATAACACGTAAAAATGAAGGTAAATGTTGAATTTCACATGGAGTATTACGCCACTTCACGTAAAACGAGTCGTGAAACTCCACTGAACTTACGTTCCATATCCACCTTCGCTCCGCTGTCCAACTGCAAGGCTCTCAACACCGCACCTTTCGGCCCTACCAAACTTCCTACATGTTCCACCGGCACATATATAACCTAAAATACAACTATTGCATTCACCAGAGTTGGAGTAGGAATATATGTAATCGCTTTCCTCAACTGCTGAGCTCAGAAGAGTTTTCTCACTAATTTGTATACGAATTCCCAAAATTCCCTCAAAATTTTCACTCATGTTGTACACCATATACACCTCCTTACTCGCTTTTCTTGTATATTAGGATCACCGTGTCTTCCCGCATACACCCCCCTTCCCTGGCCACCCATGCTGATACTTTTCGCCCTCCTATCTTGCTCTTGCTGCAACAACGCCGCATCCACGTTGTAGTGTCCCTCCATAACGTCATGAACCATCCACACAGCAGCAGCCACCTGGTCCCTGCCCCCGACCAAAGCGAGCTCCTGGTCGCCGCCAGTGGTTCTCTCCAGACGAGGAGCTATATCAAGCTTAGCACCCGAGTCGCGTTGTATTGCGCGAATGACCGCACCCCTAGGGCCGACTACTGACCCCACGCTCGATTCGGGAATAGTCAGAGTCTGAGAAACAAATAAAATATTCGGAATATTTCCAAATAAAAATTCTGAGAAAAATTACCTACACCTCAGCTGAGCTCAGGAGTTCATACATGAATTCGGGTAGAAGAACTCAATAATAATTTTCCAAAATTTCCCGAAAATTCCACTTTTTCCTAGTAGACGATTACAGAGTTATAATATATGTTTGCTTTCCTCAGCTGAGCTCAGAAGAGTTCATATATGAATTCTGTTAGAAGTGTACGAAAATTTTGCAAAAGTTTCCCAAAATTTCCCAAAAATTTCCAAAAATTCCCCAAAATTTCCAAAAATTTTCCAAAAAATTCTCGAATTTTTCGCCAATATTACTACCCTGCGTTCATAGCCTTCTGGTAACTCCCCCTTATATGTGGATAGAACAGCAGAGATATACTCGTGAATCCTATTGCGACAATCGTCGAGGCAAGCTTGGGTATCTGATGAAGAATAGTAGTGTTGGAGTAGGAATATATGTAATCGCTTTCCTCAGCTGCTGAGCTCAGAAGAGTTTCCTATACAGTGTTGGAGTAGGAATATATGTAATCGCTCTCCTCAGCTGCTGAGCTCAGAAGAGTTTCCTATACAGTGTTGGAGTAGGAATATATGTAATCGCTCTCCTCAGCTGCTGAGCTCAGAAGAGTTTCGTATACAGTGTTGGAGTAGGAATATATGTAATCGCTTTCCTCAGCTGCTGAACTCAGAAGAGTTTCCTATACAGTGTTGGAGTAGGAATATATGTAATCGCTTTCCTCAGCTGCTGAGCTCAGATGAGTTCACATCCGAATTGAGGTAGCAGTATACAGAAACCACCAGGAAATTCCCAAAATTTCTCCCAAAATTTTCATATTGTCATCACCAACACAAGTAGTTGACCATGTGCATATTTTTCCCCCTATTCTTATCGTTTTTCAAGAGTAATATATACAACCACTACAATTCCGAGAGAGTCTGATACCGTAAATCCGAAACATCAGTCCTACTAGTAGCAAGCTTGAGCACCACTGCGGAGGGGTCCTGATTGGTGCCGTTGACCACATGAACAACACAGCGACTTTGGGCTTGGATCTCAGCGAGATGTTGCATAACTTTTTTGACGCTCATCTGAGGGCAGACTATAGCCTCTTGATAGCGACCAGGAAGAGTGGCAGTAGGGTTTGTCGCAGAGGCTCCTGAATACGGAATCATTAACAGAAACCTACAATGGAGTTTCACAACTACCAGTTTTACGTGAAGTGACGTACGAGATATGCAGTAGTCGTGAAATAGATTTTTCACTAGTGTTTTTCATATCACTAAGGTGGTGAAACTCCAATGCTCGATCAGTTGCCCATGTCGTCATAATATGAATATTTCTATCACTGGAGTTTCCCGACTACCCGTTTTACGTGAAGTGGCGTGATACTCTACCAAAATATCCGAGATAAATGAGAATCGCATATACAGTGTAACGCTGGCTATGAACATGTGTTGTGATGATGAGAGTACCCGTTTGGGACTGTGATGATAGCGACGATATTTCCATATCAAATTGCCACATAGTGCAATACTATCCCTACTCACCTGCTTCAACCCTCGCACGTTTACGATCTACCTCCTCACTATTCAGCATTCAAGGGTCAATGCAAACGCTGAAATAAACTCAGGCTGGCATGAAGAAGGCACGACGGGTGGTTCGTGACAGTTTTTGGGCGTGCGCGAAATCAGCACTATGCACGCGTGGACACGAGCGTCGAGATTGACTATGACATCATCATTTTTAGCATCGTCGCTCTCCCATAAGAATATCATATAGAAACATGGCCTCTCACTAACTACGTACTCACCTTGACCCAGCTACAGCGGAACTTAGACCGGTGTAGTTGACGCTAGTCGTTGCTCGATGTTCCGTCGCTGCGGGACTCATCATACATACCGGTGTCGGAGAATCTTCTACGAGATGTCTTGCGCCAAGCTCCTCGGCGGCTCAGACCACCTTCTGAAGTCCAGGGGATCGCCGATATCACCACCGAAGGCGTGGACCAAGGTGAGTAGTAGATCGTGAGTTACACATTGCCGAAGGAATGGTTGTCTTACCGATTTACGGAAAATTTGCGCCTGAGAAAAGAGATCACACTTCGGAGTCGTGCGACGGGTGGAACAACGATCCTTCTCCGGAACATGGAAAAGGCGCAACAACGATCCTTTTCCGGAACATGGAAAAGACGCATTTTGATCCGCACTCGCACGGAAATGCCATCCTCCACCATGGTGCGGCTCAGCAGTGTCATGATATTTCGCATGATCTCCCTGACCATCAGCTCCGACTTGAGAACATTAAGTTGCAGTGGAGGTAGTGGTATAGATGACGTCTTGATCTGACCATCCCATGTAACTTAACCTAACAACAGCCACAACGCATCACTGGCCTAGTGCGCTCTAACCACACCCACCCGACTCGGGTGTGTGCCGGCCCCGTATCGGTGTGTAACAAGTAAAACCTAGTTCGCACCATCCGGTCTCTGCCATATAACTTAGAACCTTCGGCGCATTCGCAGGTCATGGATTTCCCGAT